AAAAATACACCCTCCCGGGGAAGTTGTGGCTGGAAGTTCGCGCTCGGGCTGTGGCCGTGCGGAGCTCCGCGAACCGGAGGGGTTGGAGCCGCGCCGGGAGAGGAGTGGAGGCTGCGGAGCTGCTCCTGCCCCGCTCCCCTTGGAGAAACCCCCTCCCCTCGGGGRCCGGGAGCGCTGCGGACCCTCCGCGACGCCCACCGCCACTCGGGAATGGTTTTCTCACGCCGCAATCCCGGCTCAGCCCCGCAATCCCTCCCGGGAGAGAGGGAGGCGAATCCCGGGAAGGGGCGGCTGGCGCTGCCCACCCCCGAGCCGGGATGAGGGAGAGGGGTCTRCGGGGAGCTGAACCCCCTCCCCAGGGAGCTGCGCTGAGTTTGCCGGGCTCTTACGTCCTCTTGAAGACCCCTCCGAGGCAGCTGCCGATCAGGAGGCAGAACTGCTGCGAGAAGAAGACCCAGGTGATCTGCGAGAGCGAGCTCTGGGTCTGGCAGCGCAGGTCCAGCAGCGTGGGCCCCAGGAAGGCGATGCAGAGGCCGAAGCTGAAGAAAACGCTCCAATAGGTGAGGGTGGGCTGCAGGTTCCTCCGGAACCGCGCCGACACCCGCTCGTCCCACCACATCCTGGGCGGTGGCGGCGGMGCGGGGCGGCCCCGCTGCTGGAGCTCCGGCGTTGGGCTCCGGCCCCGCCGCCGCCCCGCTGCCGTTCCCGTTGCCGGCCCCGCTCCTCCTTTGCGGGATGTGGCTCCCGATCCCGCCGCGCCGGGCGCTGGCTCCGCCTCCGGGGCCGGGCGGAGCGGGGCCCCTCTCCATCCCCGCCGCCCCCGGAGCCGCCCCGCCGGACCCCGCCGCATCCCTCGGGGGCTGAAAGGAGCGCCGTGTGTCCCCCCTCCTCCTCACCATCCTCTTCATCCCCCTCTCCCTCCCCAATTCCCCCCCTCGGGGATCTCATAATCCCCCCAAAAGTGGAGCGACCCCTCTGCGTGGTCCGCGCCGCCCCGGACATGGCACGACAGCCACAGCGGCGACACCCGACGGAACAGAGCACAGCCAAGCCAGGAAATCCAGAAATCCCCATTTTTTTTTTTCCCCCGGCTGCCAGCCCTCCCCGCGGTCCCCCGTGGCCGTGAAAAGGTGCCACCGTGCCAGACAAACGCAATTAAAGTTGCCCCTTCCCTGGATAAGCAGCACCAGCCGCCTCGGGGCGGGGGGAGGGCGCGCGTTTTAAAGCCGGAGCGGTTGATGCTTACGCAAAAGGTCTTCTCTAGAGGATGGGTTTATAAATATTTCACCTACTTTAGCTGGGGAAGGCTGGCAATTTTTAGCACACTCTTTCCAGGCAGAACGGAACGGATGGAGCTCGGCCATGGCGGAGATTTTTTGGCTGCAGGTGCCSGGCCGGGCGCGGGTACTCACCCATGCTGTGACCCGCGCCTCAGGAATGCCGCTCCGGGGCTGCAGGTGCTCATTCCCACCTGGCCACAGTTTAATGTTTAGCCAACCCAAACCGCGTCGCGGCCCTTGTTCTTCCGTGCCATCCTCGCCGCAGGACGGGATCGCTGCCCCCGCCACCGCCGCGGGGGACAAAGGGACTCAGTGTGACAGCCAGGGACAGGTGATAATGGCACCGCCACCCCCACAAAGTGGCCCGAACTCGGCGCTCCTGCGGCATTAAGCCATTAAACAATCACAGAGCAGCTGGGCTGCCTGGAGGGACGGGAGCAGCGTCCCCGTGGTGCGTGACTGATGGCGATGGCGATGGCGAGGGCCGGGCTGATGGCAGCAGCCGAGCCCGGCTCGGGGACGGGCGGTGACTCAACCGCAAGGGACGGAAATGGGGTTTTATCTTCAGGGGAYCGAGCACCTCCCAAAAAGAGCCGCGCTGGCGAGGCTGAGCCACCGCGAAAACTCGATTTGAGGCCGCGCTGCTGCGGCAGTCTCGGCTTCCGTTCCCCGTCCGTACGCAGAGGGTGAAAGGATTGGGATAATGAAGGGTTTTCCATCAAAAACTGCCAGGAAAGTCAGGCAGGAGCTCTGGTGCAGAAACCTGGGCGTGTTCCTGKGCCACCCACTCCAGGTGACCCCGTGATCCCCGAATGATCTCCAGAGGTCTCTGCCAACCCCAAAAATTCCGTGACCTCCTGGCCCTTTTTCCATCCGTTTTCCATCCATTTCCAYCCATCACGGAACAGCCAGTCCTCACCTCCCACATCCCAGCGACTCTGCCCCGAGGAAAGGATCGATCAGGCTTCCCCTGCGGCTCCCCTGGGCCAAATTCCTGATTTTTATCTGGAGATAAAGAAGATCCAGGRGAGCTGAGACACCTGAACTCCGCTCTGATAGCATCAGCTCTCCAGGGCTTGAATTCCCGACCCTAAAACGCCTCAGAAACGCCCTCCCCACCTCCGCAGGCTCCCCGGACAAACCCCAACCCCACAACCTCGCCGGGTGACCCAAATGCCATCCTCCAGAACTATCGGGGCCATTTRATCGGGACTAACACCAACCAGGCAGGCTCTGCTTGCAAATAAGCCCCGAGGCGTGGGTGGGTTTAGTCAGCACAAGAACACACAGATCCCGCCCGGCTCGGCAGAAATGCGGCTCCTCTCCTCGCAGGGAGCTCATCAAAATGCGAGCCACAGGGGCTGCGAGGAGAGGCGAGCCCAGATTTAGCTCCACGAGGAGGCACTTCCAGGCTGTTTTCCAAACTCGAATCAATGTTGTGCTCGCACCGAATTAAGACACCCCCAGCTCTGCGCTTTGCTGCAGGGTGAAACCATGAATGGAAGGCAGGGCAGAGCTGCAGCCTGAGCGCCTGCTGAGCTCCGCAGGATCCGAGAAACCTTTAGGAAACACCTTCCTCGAGTTTTCCCGTGCACT